AAGTAAACGCATGTTGGGGCGACTTTCCCGGGAAGTCCCCCCCAACTAAACGCAAGATTTTGGATCCGGCGGGGTGAGTTCACTATAGGTGAGTATAAGATAAAAATGTGAAAAAGGCTGAAAACATGGGGCACTAGATATCATATATATATAATTATATATATATTGATATACAGCTGGACAGGTTCTTCGCCCTTGTCATTGGGCGAAAATCATCTGTCTCCGGGTCTCCGGGCTATGGTTTTCAGCCAGGGACCCCCAACGGGGATTGGGATATGAGAAATCACGACGGGTCCATATGACGATGGAGACGACGGCACGACGACAATGTGCCGACGGCCTGACGGCGATAGCTCGGCAGCACGACGACGATGTGCTGACGGCACGACGACGATAGACTGACGGCATGACGACGGCATGACGACGACATGACGACGGCATGACGACGAGGACACGATGGTGCGACGACGGAGCGACGACCGTCATAAGCCCGGGTTCGGACCCGAACCCAGGCTTATGACATGTCATAAGCTGGGGTTGGACGCCGAACCCGGGCTTATGACGGTCGTCGCTCCGTCGTCGCACCGTCGTGTCCTCGTCGTCATGTCCTCGTCATGCCGTCGTCATGCCGTCGGTCTATCGTCGTCGTGCTGTCGGCACATCGTCGTCAGGTCGTCTTCATGCTGTCGTCGTGCCGTCGTAGTCACATAGCCACTTCGTCGTCATAGGGCCCGAACTATCGTCAAAAGCCTCCTGTCGTGGAGCTCCTCCTTCCACTAGAAAACCTGGTTTGCATGTGTTTAGAATTTAGCTAATGTATGTATGTGTACGTATGTGTTCGTATGTGTACGTATGTGTACGTATGTGTATGTATGTATATGTATATGTATATGTATATGTATATGTATATGTATATGTGTATGTGTATGTATATGTATGTATATGTATGTATATGTATGTATATGTATGTATATGTATGTATATGTATGTATATGTATGTATATGTATGTATATGTATATGTATATGTATATGTATATGTCAATGTATATGTATATGTATGTGTATGTGTATATGTATGTGTATGTATGTATGTATATGTATGTATATGTATGTATATGTATGCATATGTATGTATATGTATGCATATGTATGTATATGTATGTATGTAGGTATGTATGTATGTAGGTATGTATGTAGGTATCTATGTAATTATCTATATGTGTGTATGTATATGTATATGTATATGTCAATGTATATGTATGTGTATGTGTATATGTATATGTATACAAGATTATGAAAATGTATATGTATATGTATATGTATATGTATGTGTACAGAAAACGCTTAAAAACCACGTATTTTGGGGGACCTGGTGGCGTCCCACTCTCTAAGTGTATGTGTATATGTATATCTATATGTATGTCTGTCTCTGTATGTCTGTATGTCTGCATGTCTGTATATGTATGTGTATGTATGTATGTGTATCAATGTATGTATGCATGCATGCATGCATGTTTGTATGTTGTATGTATGCATGTATCTATGCATCTATGTATCTAAGGTATCTATGTCCTATGTATCTATGTATCTATGTATCTATGTATCTATGTATCTATGTATCTATGTATCTATGTATCTATGTATCTTTCTATGTATGTATGTGTATGTATGTGTATATGTGTGTGTATGTGTGTATGTATGCATGTATGCATGATTATGCATGTATGCATGTATGCATGTATGCATGTATCTTTGTATGTATGTATGTATGTATGTGTTTGTATGTATGTGTTTGTATGTATGTGTTTGTATGTATGTGTTTGTATGTATGTGTTTGTATGTATGTGTTTGTATGTATGTGTTTGTATGTATGTGTTTGTATGTATGTGTTTGTATGTATGTGTTTGTATGTATGTGTTTGTATGTGTGTGTTTGTATGTGTGTGTGTGTATGTATGTATGTATGTATGTGTGTATGTAAATTTGTATGTGTGTATGTAAATGTGTATGTGTGTATGTAAATGTGTATGTGTGTATGTAAATGTGTATGTGTGTATGTAAATGTGTATGTGTGTATGTGTGTATGTGTGTATGTGTGTATGTGTGTATGTGTGTATGTAAATGTGTATGTAAATGTGTATGTAAATGTGTATGTAAATGTGTATGTCTGTATGTACTTATGTACTTATGTACTTATGTACGTATGTACGTATGTATGTATGTACGTACGTATGTATGTATGTATGTATGCATGTATGTATGTATGGTCATAGTTCCAATTGCAGTATGGATACACAACAATGTCAGTCTTGACATCTTCAAAATGCGGATCCAACTGAATTTGTGATCCACAACACTGATCGTCCAACCTGGATTACCCACACGCATCCAATGTCTTGATTTGACAGCGCTGGGTGGGACATTTGAAAGTCACACGAGAGCGACGAGCTGTAAAATGCAGACTCTGTTGGGTTATTTTTTTGGCCAGGTGGTACTTGAGCATTTGCACTTGAAGTTGTGCAGGAGCTTTGCCAAAGAAAAAACCGGCAAACTAGCACAAATCTTCCGAGAACGAAGCATTGCTCCGCTCCACAACGAAAAGTCAGCACCGGAGCCTGCAACTCAAGCAATGCAAATTAACATCCAAGTGCTGAACGAGACTGTCTCAATTTGGCATCAAGAGACCACAAGTAGATGCCACACGTACAGGTGGAACCTGTTTTTGATTTCTCGTTCTGGTTCTGCAACTCTCTCACCCGGGCAATCATGACCTTTGACCTCACAGCCAGAGATGAGCAAGAGGGAAATTGTGGGGAGTCATAGAAACACTCGAAGCGTTTTACGATTATTTTTAGACAATTATTGAATTACTGTATATGACAAATAAATGACCACTACAGTAATTATATGGGTGTATAATGATGTATATGGTTCAAATCATTGAAAGGCATCCGAAACATGAAAAACGTCGAAGCAATCACAGCCCTCGCTGCATTTGGCACTGAGAGGATAACGGGTTTTGAACATCGCCAGTGAGAGGCCGCGCAATGACTTTTCTCTGACTCTCGGGACCTTCATTTTTGGGTCGTGTCGAACTGTTCAGCCGCAACAGTTGGAAGATTTGAGTTGCAACAAATTGCACAATATCCAGCTACATGCAGCTACATGCAGCTACATGCACAATATCTAGTCTGCTTCTACATAGCTTGAAACTGATAAGCTGAGGATTCAGCTCAGCGCTCGGATCTTCATAGCAGCTTCAGAATTGATGTTGTTCTCGTCGATGAAGCGGTCAACCTGTAAATATCCACTCAGCTCCACCAGTGATTGCTGTCATGAACTTTAAAGAACTTCAGTTGAAGACAGCGGTGAGTGAGGCCGTGAATCCGTTACGCCTCTGGCAATCGCACAGGGGTCCGTGATCTTTCTCGGTCCTTGGTGATTGTTTTGTAGTCCAACGGCCTTCCAAAATCTTGAGACATCAAGGCGGTTGACACGTCATCAGTGCCAGGCTACACTTGGTGGATGTGCAGGTAATCCTGACCAGGATGAGCACAACTGAGTCCTGCACACGACCCCTCGAGCGTCCTCGGCGTCCTGATGCGTGCATCCCAGCATTGTCTAAAGTATCGAGTCTTATCCTGCAAGATTCAAGATTATACAAAACTACCCGTCATAGGTTTCACAACATTAAAGCCGACCTGTCATTGTTGTGGCAGTCTACGCCACCAAGACTGCACAAAAAGTGGATATGTCAGCTAGTAAATCGTAACGAGATTATGTAGTTTTTTTACATTCCATATCATCATTCCAACACATTTGTCTTGCCACACAAAGGCCTACTGTGGCATCAATGTTATTAATGTAGTATCCCGATTAGTGTGGTGATTCGGTAGTGTGTCAAGTTTTTCAAAATAATTCTGAATCAGTGTACTTGTTGGGGTGGGTCGGTATTATGTCAAGCTTTTTCTGAGGCCAAGTTTTTTGTTCAGCATGTTTTTTCAATTTTGGATTTTTTCATTTGGTTAAAACTAACGAATTAAGGAAACAGAAATGAATACTTGCAACATGTTTTTGAACATACAAAAAATATAGGATGCCTTGTTAAAACCCCAAAAAAAAAAACAGCACTCAAACAATTTACATATCTGTGGTTCCCACAGATATGTATATATATACAACATGTGTGTGTGTGTGTGTTGTGTGTTATTTTCTTGTTTTTTAAAGTTCATGTTCAAGAAGCAAAGGTTCTAAGTGTTAGTTTCCCCAAGGAATACAACCACATAAAACTTGCAGCGAAGCATCCCAAGTTGTGTACATATTTCATTCAATACCCTGTTTATTTGTGACTTTTCCACACATCCATAAATCCATCCATCCATCCATCCATACATACATACATACATGCATACATGCACATGTATTGATAGTTTGAACTTGTTCCGAAAGATATGTATATATACAATATATATATATATGTACATACATTTGTGTGTCGTGTGTTTTGGAGGTTTTAGGTTCTAAGTGTTAGGTTCCCCAGGGAATACGATCACATAAAACTTGCAGCGAAGCATCCCAAGTTGTGTACATATTTGATTCTATACCCTGTTTATTTCTGATTTTTCCATACATATCAATACATGCATGCATGCATACATGCACATTTATTGATAGTTTGATTTTTCCAATGATATGTATATATATATGTATATGATATATATATATACATACATTTGTGTGTCGTCTGTTATTATGAAGGTTTTTTGAATTCATATTCATGAAGTATAGGTTCTAAGTGTTAGGTTCCCCAAGGAATAGGACCACATAAGACTTGCAGCGAAGCATCCCAAGTTGTGTACATATTTCATTCAAAACTCTGTTTATTTGTGATTGTTCAATCCATATATCCATACATACATCCATACATGCATCCACACATACATGCATGCATACACATAAGGAAGTTTCGGCATGGCTGCGGAATGCGGCGGGTGCCATCAAAAACAACAAAACTTGGAGAAACCTTAGAGAAATGTTGAAAAAGAGCAAGCCCCAAGATAATTTCACCGCAATTTCTTCGATGATTATCATGTACTGTAAATATACAGTGTATATATAGGGCGACCGACTTACACCCGACTCTATAAGCTGGATATACGTTAAAATTGGGATAGGTTCAAAGTGTTAATGAAAAATATCATGATTTGGTTCTAAGTGTTGACTTGTTTGGGGTTCTAAGAGTTCTAAGTGTACACTTAGAACCTGGGTGTGGGGTTCCAAGTGTACACTTAGAACCTGGTCGAACTATTTTGCTACCATCTTTTTTTAGTATTTTTCCAAAATAGGTTCTAAGTGTAAGTCGGCAACTATATACATACCGTTACGTCCCATTCCATACCATCACATACCATGACATGCAATGACATACCATGACATACCATTACATACCATTACATACCATGACATACCATTACATACCGTTCCATACCATGACATAGCATTACATACATTACATACATTACATACATTACATACAATACATAACATTACATTACTTTACATACATTACATACATTACATACGTTACATACAGTACATACAGTACATACAGTACATACAGTACATACAGTACATTCATTATATTATATACATACATTGCATACATTACATACACTACATACACTACATACACTACATACATTACATACATTACATACATTACATACATTACATACATTGCATGCACTACATTGCAGACATTACATACATTACATACATTACATTACATACATAACATACTTTACATGCATTACATACATTACATACAATACATACATTACATACATTACATACATTACATACATTACATACATTACATACATTACATGCATTACATACATTACATACTTTACATACATTACATACATTACATGCATTACATACATTACATACATTACATGCATTACATACATTACATACATTACCTACATTACATACATCCAATACATCCATTACATCCATTATATACATCCACTACATCCATGCATGCATGCCATGCATCCATGCATGCATGCATACATGCACACATGCATACATACATTACGTTGCGTTACGTTAAGTTAAGTTACGTTCCGTTACGTTGCATTCCATTACATTCCATTACATTCCATTACATTCCATTACATTCCATTACATGCCATTACATTCCATTACATTCCATTACATTCCATTACATTCCATTACATTCCATTACATTCCATTACATTCCATTACATTCCATTACATTCCATTTGCCATTACATGCCATTACATTCCATTACATTCCATTACATTCCATTACATTCCATTACATTCCATTACATTCCATTACATTCCATTACATTCCATTACATTCATTACATTACATTCCATTATGTACATTCCATTACATACATACATATATACATGTGCATTCTGTATATATTATATGCATATGTGTATACAGCATATGTATATACTGTAATTACAGTAGTTTATACATATATGTCTAAAAATATTTATACGGTATACATGTAGGTATAAGAATAGCGTGCAGCAGAGCTTCATACCAACAGAAAGGAAAAGCATGTGAAGTATCTGAATGTCAACGGATGATGCTGACGCGTCATATCGTGTGACTTCAAGCATTGTAATTTCTCCGCCTCTGCGATCTCTGTCACGTTCCCGGCCTAGCTTCAGTGGAAGCAACGCACTGACTGACGGTTTGCATCGCTTTTCAAATTCGAGAGGCATGAAGAAAGGCATGAGAAAGTCATGAACAGAGCATCATAGACTATCTGAATTCGGTGGTTTCCAATTGTGCAGCGTACGCGTATGTCAGAATATATACATTTGTTTCATGTGTTTCTTCTGTATCTAGTGTTTGTAGTTTTCATCTCAGGCGAGCGAATTTAGCTCAGCGCGTTTACGTCTTTTGCGACCCCGCGGGCTGTCGCTTCCACCACCTCAAGCTGTTCACTTCGGAGTGGTCCATGGCAACGGGTTCGAAACATCATGAAACATCTGAGCGTCATGCTGTCATCTTGGCACTCTGAATGCGGTTCCACCCATTCCTGGCACTTGAAACTGTTATCATCCAAGACATTCCAAGACCCCAGAAATTAAATTCCACGACATTGTCTCGGCCTAAAACCTGGCTGAATCAATCAGAACTCCCAATGGGCACATGCACAGGGTGCCAGAAGCTTTTGGGTCCCAAATATCTGATGTCTGGCGGCAAAAGGCAAACGACAAGCTCCATATAGACCAAATATGACCAAATATCAAACAAGTGAGTGAGGTGTCCCATTATTATGCATTGCTTGCATATCTAGGACACTGAGCAATCGCCGTAGCTTCAAACTGAATCACTGATCTTGAGGCAAGCCAAACTGAAAACTGGACCCTATATATCCAATAGCTGTACTTCCCCTATATACTAGTAGTGCATTTGGCTTGAAGCAAAGATGTCTTATATACGTGCATACATATGATTACATATGCATACGTTCATGGCAACACTCTCACATACGACTTGCATCTTAAACAGAATCACCAACGAAAACTCGCTCTGCACAGCACAAAAGAATAGGTCAGAGTCAGGAACCGAGGCCCAAATGGCCGATCGATGTTGCACAAAAAAATATATATAAAGTCATATAAAGTCGTTCAAAAATGTTCAAAACATCCAGGCTTCCTTTTGGGGGGCCAAACATGTGTGCCGTCTCGTGATTCTATCAAAAAGAAACGTCAAAAAAAAGCAGGATCTGTGCAACTCAAAGGGATCAAGTGTACAAACAACATCAAACAACAAGTCTTGATTGCAAAATGACAGCATGAGCCCACCTCATTCTGAGCGTCGTCCTCCTTGATTCATTCACGGTTCATGTGTCTGAATAAGTCTGACAGTCTAGAAACCAAAATACCTTGAACTTATCACCTTGCTCTTCTTGTAGATATTCAGTTTCAATCTAGGCTCCATGCTGTTCTAGCCGTTCTTACAATTTGCGTTGTGTTCTCTTTTTAAGAGCTGCTTTCCTGTCTCCTCGCCCCTATCATGTTTCCTCACCTCGTCACTTGCACCCTTGCGGCGCGACCTTACAGCAGAACAAGCAAACAATAACATCCACCATCTACGCAACCAAGTAGTAACACACTTCTCCTTGGTGACAGACTTGTCCTTCTTCGCAGCGTTCCCTGTCAATACGTACAGTACAAACAATGCTGCCATGCGGCATGGCTAGCACGACAAGCGCTCGCTTCAATTCATCCACTACCTGTATCATCCTGTATATATCTGTATCTGTATCATCAGAAAAGTCTATGGCCTGTTGGAGAAGCACTAGGCACACCAATGCCCATCCTAAGGCAATACGGAACAGACAACCACAGTCAAAGTCCATGTCTCCTGCTGAGCTGCCCTGGCATGCGAAAACAGGACAGGGCAAGATGAGCTGAGACACTGGCACCATGAACGCACCTTCTGCAATTGCCACAAGTTCTGTGCGCAAATGGCACTAGACACTCCGCGGCCACTCTGAAAACTTCAAGCACGCAGTTTGTATTCACTTCCTATCCCTTTCTCCGAAAAGGAAATGCTGGGGTACAGAAAGTGTCAAATACAAGTGACAAGTCTTCCAATGCTAGAAACTTCGAGGGTTCTTCCTTTGCATCAAGACGGGGGCTTTCTCGTGCACTCTGCCTCTGTAGAAACCAATGTAAAAGAGCATGGAATTCTATGTGCGGGTGTTGAGCCATTGGAGCGCATCACGACATCACGAGTCTTGTGGGGGAGGGGTTCTGGCAAGATCAGCAACAGATTCACATGCACCTAATTCTAATGGGTGCATTGGTGCATGCCAAGACTACCTGGTCTGAACTGAATCCGTCCACAATCATGTGCATGCCTTTTCTTTTTCCTCTCAAAATTCAGCATTGTGCACCAATCTACAGGTGCTATGTACATCGTCCATCTAGATGATCAATCCCTTCAGGATTGAAAAAACATGCACACTTTTTATGTCGCTATGCCCTTTCTACAAGTGATGCGATTCTAAGGGGTCATCCACTCATGGCAGACTATCGCAGACTGCTCTCAGGCAACTGGAGGTGAGTCAAATTCTTGAAAGCTCTCTTGCTCCTTCAAAGACTTTACGAACTCTTCAAAGTTTCAACAAAGATCTTCAAAGATCTTCAAAGTTTCAACATGTTTCAACATGAACTCTTCTCCTTCTTCTTAATCCCTCAAAATTTCTCCTTCACTACTTTCACTGACTCCTTCACCATCCTTCAACATCTTTCATGTAAACGAAGATTAAACTAGTGCGTTCGGGTCCTTTGATGAGATTGATGGGGCAGAGGCCTCAGTGCTTTCTGGATACCTGCAATCATGAAGACTTTACAATGGATGGAACCGAAGATCAAAGATAAGACACTGCTTCTGAGGATGTCCATAGACGTCCATAGACGGGAAAAAAATCAGGTCCTGCCTCTCAAACATGGAAGTGTCGTCCGCGCTTTGCACTGGAGGTTTGAAGGGTGGAGAAACCTTGCTTCGGTGTAATCTCTGAGGCCGCTGAAGCTTTGCATTTGTCAAATACGTGTGAAACTTGTAAAGAAAGAAACTTCTGCTTCGCTACGGGCGCGCAGATATATCTGAGCTATGCGCTCGTCTGGCTAACAACAAATCCCAGTCCGTACCCTGGCGTGGCACCACTTTGCGCTTTGCTCAACGGCTTGAGCTGCTTGTACGATTTTCCGGCCAAGAGGTGCCTTGTACCACTTGTGCCTTTTGATGTCTTCAACACCTGCCCTGAAGCAGGAGGCCGATTCAATCTCGCAAGTCCAATCAATCCAAGACCCAACTTCTCTCATCGCTTAGGCTCCTGCTTGAGGCATCCAAACCGCTTCGTCCTATCGTTGACGAGCAGTCTTCGTACCAGGTCCTGTCAACCCCAGGTTCAAAGTCAACGCAAGAAAGGTTAAAGCGCAGTTTATTTGCCTAGGCAGGGCAAGACGGGCTTGCGCCTTGCACCCATCCAAATATCCAAATCAATCATAGCTGTTTCATAAATGTTCATAACATCATACCTGCTACTTGGCAGGTGGGGCGACTAGAACTCAGCAGTATTAAGGGAGGACCCAGCCTTCGCCTTCACATCGAAATGGCGTGGGAAGTCTAGGCGGCCTTGCAGCACCTGAACGGGTAAGAATTGCAGCGAAACATGTAGCATTTCGAGAAGCTCTTTTGCAATCTGTTGCAATTGTAATTTCTGTAATCCAACTTGGGACAATGTGCAATTCTGTGCAGTCATTCAAAACCCTTGCATCATGTTTCGACATCTTTAAGGTGTCCGGATCGAATCAATTAAAAGGCAACAAACAACAACACAAAACTATACATATGCGATATGCTGCATATGGTGTCATCAAGCATTGCAACGACAACGGCTGCACATCCCGTAAATTGCAAATTCATCTGTAGGGAACAGAAAGAAACAATCTTACGGACTTGAAAGAGATCGTGTTGAACCAAAATCAGATCCCACGGTTTTAAAGGGGTCTACGATTGGCAAGAGGTTTGGCAGACAATGTTTAAGGTATATAACTTTTTTCCCAGGATGTAGGTTTCAGAAAACTTTGATAGAGACTGACGAACTTCAAAAGGCAGGAATTGCCGTTTTGCATAGGCATGGATCAATCGTATCAAGCGCATTTATGATTGCACCCATGCTATGACATAATGGAGTGGTTAGTCGCAGAGTGCATGCCCGGCAAAGGAACAGGCCAGTGGGCGAAGATGTACCCCGAAAGTATGTTCAACGTTTTGCAGTATTCCATGGTCAATTGCCAAGCAGAATGAAAAAATCCACCAGTCCGGACAGACCCTGTACATTTGATGAGTAGATGGAGGCGATGTTGCACCACAGACCAAAAAGCAGGGTTAAAGAATACCCAACTCAACACCATACAAAACCGTGCAAACAACTACGTCACAACTACGTCAACACCAAACAAAACGAACGCATTTTCTTGTGAAGAATATGCAATCAGGCACCGCGCACTTGGGAGATAGATCTTCTAGAGTCAAACCGATGACAGCTGCACACCCTACCATGCTGAACAAATTGCCCAACAAAAGGCATGAAAAGAACCAAGATGGATTCCCCAAAGCCAAATGTATGACTAAGTAGGACCATACATCAAACACCTCCTTTTATCTCCTGTTCTTTTAACAGCAGAAATGTAGAATCTAGAAGACACATGGACGACGTGTCTTTGTGAGACTTTTGTAGAACGCACTTTTAGAACAGGCTTGTAGATGCCTCCATCCCTTACATGACCCTTGTAGAGCGCCATGTAACAAGACTCTTGAAAAACACCCTTGCCGCCCAATCCTTGAAATAACACAAACACATCTGAAATCCTTTGAAGTATACTGCCCTTGCCAAGATTTGCCAAGAAGACTGTGCACATCTGCGCTGACGTCTTCCAAGTGCTGCGCCAGCCACAAAATCATAACATGTAGGACCTCTAGCATGATCTCACATTTATTGCGCCTGCCGTGTGACACCTCTGGTCTAAAACGCAGCATGTGTGCCAGTGTGTGTGAGGGCCACCGACGGGCGGTCGCGAAACTGTTGCAAACGGTTGCAACAAAAAAGCGCCACACAACGAACACAGGTCTAAAGCACGGTGCGAAACCTCTGACAAACCGGACCCCTTACTGTAGGTTGATGAGCACGCAAAGCAGAAGGTTGCTGTGGCCTCAAACAAACTGCAATCATGACATCACATGGAAAACGTTGAATGTCGAAGTGCCTTCTGATAGATGCCGAACGGGTTCTCTTCATAGAAAGGAGGGTATCCTCTCAGAAGACAACTGCCACGGATGAGGGGTGAGGCATTACAACAACAAAATAAGTGAACCATCTGCACACACAGAGCTCGTACATCAAACAAGAAGCTCTACAGGGCTGCCATCACCTCACTCCTGGATCTCAAGAGTGAATCGTAGACGTCAGTCGCAAGGCTATCACTTTTGACTGGGTTTGCTTTGATGAGCACAGGATGACTGAGGCACGACTGTGCAAAATCCACTACAATCTTCTCCACGCAATCCAACACTACCTGCTGGATCTTGCGCGCTCGTGCAGCTTCTTGGTTGGTTGGGCACTGTTTTAGTCTGGCAATGGGCAAGAAAGGGTCTTTACTCCGGAGAAAATGCAATAATGTCCTCTCTTTTTGGCAGTTGCTGCACGTCGTGGCTGGAAAAGCTGGAGTTCTGACATTGTGGAAATTGCATCGCGTGGATCTTTAGGTTCGCCAGCTGTCCTCATGCGTTAGGTTGACCTGGTTTTGAGCGCGTTCTCTTGTGCGAAGGTCGTTCCTCTCTTCCAATGATATCGTATTTATGTTCTCGATTTGGAGTTATCAAGAGTGGTTGTGTTATCCAGTCCTGCCATCATTTCAAAGAGCAGGACGCCCAAGGCCCACCAGTCAACTCCCTGCAGTGGGAGCTGATTCAAAAGCACAAAAACACATGTTAAACCGTTAAACATCGTTCACCTATGAATTAAACACATGTAAGAAAAAAAATCCTTCAAAGAAGAGGAAGCTGCCTTTCCATGTCCTTTCGATTGAATGATCTCTGGCGCCAGGTACCTGATCAAAACTTGCAGAGCTGGCGCCACAGATTACAGTAAAAGTTCAAACCACCACAACATGAAGAGAGCACCCGGGCAGCAAGCGTGGAACGGCCCCGAAATCGTGAACCAAACATGATGACATGATGCTGAATGATGCACCTTTATCAAAGCAGCACTAATGGCAACATGGCAGGTGCAGCAATAACTCCCACACCAAAGCAAGTGCCATCTGTAGAATTAGAATTAAGAATCCCCTCGGTTTCCGCTTCCTCAGAAAAGGCAGTGAAATTCAAATGGGTTTGCTGCCCTTTGTTCTTTTTCGACAAACAACAAGGTCACTCGGGGGTGCCACAAAGTGTCCAGGTCCTCTCTTCAACCACCTTGCGATTGCAATGCGTAATGTGGCATTGATCGGATCGAGCATCCCGAACCATCCCAAATCTTCCAAATTCACCCAGTACAGTAGGTACCGTCTGGCACAAAGTTATTTTTATTATATTCTCCCCCCCCCAAAAAAAATCAAGAACTAGATGTCTCTGCTCGCACCTTGGCGAAGCCAAAATCAGTCAGCTTCACGTGTCCTTCGCAGTCTAGAAGCACGTTCCTTATCTCTGCATATTTGCAACATGGCTGACAAGACTGAAAAACATTGAAAAACACAACAAAAATCAGAAAAATAAAATCAATGCCGTAGAGCAAAGACGGTAGAATGCGCAGCCAACATAAGCCTGCGAATCAAATACTGAAAAACTCGCAAACCATTTGGTTTGAACCGCCGCTTGCTCGGCACAGGCATAGCACTTTGGCTTGATCTTATTTGGCTTGACGTTTCAATCCACATTGGTTTTGTTTATTGGCTGCGCGCCAGGGGCAAGGAGTCATACAAGAATGAAGCAAGTATTTGTCCGGTCAGTTTGATGCAGGCCCGTTTGACTTGACAGAGTTTGGATGTTGCTCAGGTTTGGCCATGAGTTCAGAACAAAACAACGTAACTTCAGCCTGATCGCAATGTGACTGCAGGGATCTGCAGGGTAACTGCAATTAAACATTGCGTTTTTTTGAGACTTGGAAGCCTGAGAGAATGCCCCGAGAATTGCAGCCACTCGACGGACGCATCGGCAAGTGCGCGGCCAGTGGACCAGTGTCATTGATGCCGGAATCAAAATACAAATGGCATCAAATGGCCATATGTGAATTACTGGTAAAGTAGATCTGGCAATGCTGAGGCGTGCGCGCGATATGGCTTACAGTTTGGATACGTGAAACACCATCCTTACGCCGGATCTCAGTCAGCCCGAATATTACTTTCGTCAATAACTCCTAGGCACGTCAATGAAACAGTCAAAATCCGTTGCATAGAAGTGAATGATTGCATACTCATGCCCCAACTTGGGTTCATGCAGCCTCAACACCTCTATCAGTAACTTTACAGGTGCAAATCTCGGAAGGCCCTACTGGCAGTCGGACGCTGGACTAACGCTGCAACTTGAAGGCCGGTCGGACCCTTGAACTGCATCCAAGAATCTCGGGTTTCAAGTCACGATACACGACATGCAGGCTGTGCAAATACCTGAGGTGAGAAACCACTCTCTCTCTCTCTCTTTTATGTGCCGCCCAGCTGACGTTAGATGCGTAATTACTGAACACACGAGCTGATTCTGTCGGAAGCAAAACAACAAAACAAAACAACGGAAGCCGACGGAAGCCTAGTATAATATAGTATAATTCCGTAGATACCCGTAACCGAGATAACCTTGGACCAACATGACCAGGTCAGGTCTAAGAAGCGAGCCCAAAGGCCAGCACAATCTCCTCAGCAGTATGCATGTGTGCCACACGTGTGACTGCACAATGAATGTGCACTGCATGGCCTGACATGCTCAAATGGCCTGGCTGCCTGGCTCAAATGGCCTTCGCTCTTGTTGAGGTAAAACTCAATTGTAGTAGAAGATAATAGAAGAGTTAGAAGAGCCCATCTGGGAAATCCAGCATGTATCTGTTGAATGATGCTCAGCCTTCCAGCACATGTTGGCACTGCACGCTATACTAGGACCATTTGCGCTCAAAAAAAAAATGACAAAAATGCATGCAGTATGTGGGTAGCGGGTGCAGAGTTTGGTCAAGTCTTTGCGTATGCACCACGGAAGCTGCAAATGACACCTGATAGCTCCAAGAACTTTGTCTGTGGCTCAGTGGACTTGAGGCTTTTTTGAACGAAAGGTAGGGGTGGGAGACACAGTTGTAAACCTCCAGTAGTGGGTGAGATTGCACCATGGGGAAATGAAACACAACAAAAAGGGCATGATATAGCAGGCGGCCTGTTGTCAATGTGTGTGTGCGCGCGCGTGTGCATTCCCAGGAATTCTATATGTAATTGGAATTCTTTTCATGTTTCAATTCTTCTGGTAACAGTAGTACCCGCACAAGGCAAGGCAGAAGTTTCATTGAAAGGAATTGGCATGAATTGGCTACAGGGAAATAGGCACGTATAGAAAGAAATCATTTCATGTCATCAATGTCACAGATGAAATGACTTGAGTGAAGGAGTGCAATGAATGACTGAGTGAAATGAAATGAAATGAAAATGAAAATGAAATGAAATGAAATGAAACCAAATGGGTTGAAATTGAAAGGACATTCAAATGACACTGAAGTGAAGTTGAATGCATGAAAAAAGGAATGAAATAATGCATTGAAATGAAACTGAAACGAAATTAAACTGAAAATGAAAGGAAACAAAATGAAGTGAAATGAAATGAAATGCAACGAACGAATGAAAGAATGACAGAACAAAAACACAAGAATAAGTCGGAGAAAGCATGCTGATGCAATTTTACTTACTGCTGATCTACTGTCTGACCGCCATACTGAATTGCTATCGTTCAAATAAAACATGTTTTGTTCATTTCTCACTATCAGCTGACTCTTTCCTCCATCTAATGCTTCCACTACCTGCGATGAAAGCGCTCCTTTTCCATGGCACGGCAACGCGTATCATGATCATGCATGCATGAGCTTCATTTTTCAATCATGTCTTGCACAAACTGCTTCACAGGACAGAATGCTGAAATGTGCCACTGGCAAGTCAGGCAGCAGTACTTGAAAAGGGCCATTTGACGGTTGTTAATTGAAAAGGTGGAAAGCGAAAACCTATGTGGAAGATTTCGGAAGGTAAGAAAAGGGGAGAGCGTGAGGAGCACAAGGGAATCCATCCACCACCCTATTCTTGTGTGCCCTTGACGCTTTGCACATGGCGCAAAGGAAACATCCCAGACCTTCCAGAGATCTTCCAGCGCTAATTGCACCTGCCCACAAGTGTTCAAGAATCCCAGATCTACACACAGGATCCAGACATTAAATCGTTGCACGGGAGAGAGCGTGTATCTTCATAGATAGTGTGCCCTCCTTAGCCTGCTTCCAACAGCTTCGCCACTGGGCTCGCCGGCCCCTCAAAACCACCCCGCCTGACAAACCAACCCAGGACCAAAAATAATTGAACGGCATGACATGGCATGACTACCTGCACCATTCTATAGACATATTAAACATACTGACTCCAATTGTGGGCCCCCTTCGTCACCAACAAGAGCGCTTCTATAGACGCGATTCCAGCAGTGGAATTACATGCACGTGTGACACGCGCACACCTACACACAGAGTGCTGTGTCCGGAAATTGAACCTCCCGCGCTTCAACACATCCTCGCATATCCTCGCACGCTCGAAGCGATCGCATCCTCAACCGTCAAATCCAGTTTCCAGCATCCCAGTGCCTCTGGTAGCAGAGCCCAAAGCCCGCAAGTGGGACTCCTTTGCTTCCTCCTTCAACCCATGCCCGCTCGAAACAATTGCCAACTGAAACGCGTCGACGACCTTCAAGTACCAGTGTGGCTGCTTCCAGCGTGGCAAACCACAACTGACAAGCTTTAAGCACAGCCGACAGCAAATTGCGCGGCGGTCCATCCCGGTATTCTTTTTGAGGAAAATAATATACTTGCCTCAGTCCTCATGATACACGAAGATGTTTCCACCTCTGGTCTGCCTCTATCCCCAATCCCTTGATCCTCGCCGTTCTCAAGTGGACAACTGCAACCTATATTGGCGGGTTGTTTTCCTGATTTTGGGAAATTCTTTTCTGTTGTTTTCACACCTGGGTGTCCGTTTTATCTGAAAAAGGTGAGCAGGGCATAGATGGAAATGATTACAATTAGGAGGATGGGTCGAGGATGAGGGGTAGGTTTTTAGCGTGATTAGTGATTAGGGGATTATGTGTATATATATATACACACATACGATCATGAAGATAAGAATAAGAATGAAAATGATGATGATGATGATGATGATAATGAAAATTATATGATGATGATGATGATGATGATGATGAAAATTATATGATGATGATGATGATGATGATGATGATGATGATGATGATGATGATGATGATGATGATGTTGATGATGATGATGGTGATGGTGATGATGATGATGATGATGGTGATGATGATGATGATGATGAAAATTATATGATGATGATGATGGTGATGATGATGATGATGATGAAAATTATATGATGATGATGATGATGTTGATGATGATGATGTTGATGATGATGATGATGCTGATGATGATGATGGTGATGATGATGATGATGATGAAAATTATATGATGATGATGATGATGGTGATGATGATGAAAATTATATGATGATGATGATGGTGATGATGATGATGAAAATTATATGATGATGATGATGATGATGATGATGATGATGATGATGTTGATGATGATGATGGTGATGGTGATGATGATGATGATGGTGGTGATGATGATGATGATGAAAATTATATGATGATGATGATGGTGATGATGATGATGATGATGAAAATTATATGATGATGATGAAGATGAGGAGGAGGAGGGGAGGGGAGGAGCAGGATGAGCAGGAGGAGCAGGAGGATGTGACGATTATACTTTATTATTCGACGATCATAATTTATCTACCCTACCTAAACTACCCCCCCCCTCCCCCCCCCCTCAAAATAATTTCCAAAATTATTTTCAGGGGGTTGATAGTGTCTTCGGTTGTTATACGAAACAACCCTCTTTAGGGCAAAATAATTCCTTACGATAGACCCCCCCCTCCTCTTCATCGACGGTGGTGAACCTTCGTAAAAATTATTTCAACCCCTGGGGAGTTAATTATTTTGCCCCCCTCCGGAGACTCCAATCTTTACATATGTATACTTTGGGACCCCCCCCCTACCCGACATGATCGCCTTCGCAGGTGTACCAAAATATTCCATCCCTTCAAGAAAAACGCGGGGGTATCAACCAGGTTTTGGAATATGTTTAAAGAAAACATGTTGTTGAATAATTTTCCTAAGCAGTGGGCCTACGGATGTGCATATTGGAATATGAGAGTTATAATCTAAGCCTTCAATATACCCTGGAATAACTATGTTTTGAAATAATTTCATCTAAATTTTAAATGGTTGAACAAAAAAAGATTTTAAAAAAATCCCCTTGGGGATTCCCGCAAAATGATGTTCAACCATCATCTTCATCACTGGCTCTTTCCTACATATTTCCATTTTTTCATACTTCCCCACATTTCTCTCACATTCCCTTCATTTCCTTCCAAAGAACACTCGGTGGGAATGAGTGTGAAAGGGAAAGCATTCGGTGTTTATAGTTTTTTTTCAGCTGGCAGCTGCTCACTTTGATTTTTGAGGGGCAGGGTATCTCCAATACCCCTAAAATAATTTCTCCCCTTGGGAAATCCCACGGAATGGCATTCAACCTGGCCCTTTCCTGTAGTGATTTTCCTAACCTGTCATATTTCCCTTTTCTTCTTCCATATTCCCTTCATTTCACTCCAAAGAACTCTTTTTTTGGGAAGCGTTCGGTTTTGATAGGTTTTTCATTTGTTTCCAGTTTATGGGCGAGTTGGATGGTTCTGGCAGCTGCTCACTTTGGTTTTTGAGGAGTGCAGGGTATCTCCACTACCCCTAGAATAATTTCTTCTCTTGGGAAATCCCACGGAATGGCATTCAACCTGGCCCTTTCCTGTAGTGATTTTCATAACCTGTCATATTTCCTTTTTCTTCTTCCATATTCCCTTCATTTCCCTCCAAAGAACTCTTTTTTGGGAAGCGTTCGGTTTTGATAGATTGTTCAATTGTTTCCAGCTTATGCGCGAGTTGGATGGTTCTGGCAGCTGCTCACTTTGAATTTTGGGAAGTGCAAGGCATCTCCAATACCCCTAGAATAATTTCTCCTCTTGGGAAATCGCACGGAATGGCATTCAACCTGGCCCTTTCCTGTAGTGATTTTCCTAACCTGTCATATTTCCTTTTTCTTCTTCCATATTCCCTTCATTTCACTCCAAAGAACTTTTTTTGGGAAGCGTTCGGTTTTGATAGGTTTTTCATTTTTTTTCCAGTTTCTGGGCGAGTTGGATGGTTCTGGCAGCTGCTCACTTTGGTTTTTGAGGTGCAGGGTATCTCCAATACCCCTAAAATAATTTCTCCCCGTGGGAAATACCACAAAATAATATTCAACCTGGCCCTTTCCTGTAGTGATTTTCATAACCTGTCATATTTCCTTTTTCTTCTTCCATATTCCCTTCATTTCCCTCCAAAGAACTCTTTTTTGGGAAGCGTTCGGTCGGTTTTGATAGGTTTTTCATTTGTTTCCAGTTTATGGGCGAGTTGGATGGTTCTGGCAGCTTCCCACTTTGATTTTTGAGGAATGCAGGGCATCTCCAAGATCCTTTGAATAATTTCTTAAAGAACGAGTTTGGTTTCGAGTTGCAAGTTTTGATGCGTTCTTGCTGCAACTTAAGATTGAGGGGAGATTCTGACATGACTACCAGGGAGCACACATGAAACATGATGTTGAATTTATTTGCGTTGTAGGATTCGCAACGCATCAATCCTAAAAAAACAAAAAAAACTAAAAAATAATAAGCCACTTTTGCAAGTCCAACATTGCGCAAGATGGGATATCGCATTGTTCTACATCGTTTCCTCCGAAAGTTACAACACTGCCATCACTGCGAAGAAGTGCTGTGTGAACACAGCCTGCAGAAACTTGAGTGTACGACATTCCTTCATCCAAAGGTGGAATATGCCATCGGATCAAAACAAGGTCAAACACTAAAATTATTTTGAAATATTTTTTTTGCTGTGAGAGTGTTTTCGTCAAAATTATTTTGAGGGGGGGTAACCCATCAAAATAATTTCCAACCAGAAATTATTTTGGTGATGGTTAGAGTCTATAAATCTATACATCCAACATGTTAGATTTTTGAAATTATTTTCAAAAAATTATTTTGGAGGGTAACCCCCCCCTGAAATAATTTCATTAAGGTAGGAGGGATCATAATTTGATGATAATAGTTCGACTGTGACGACTTGCTGGCGTGACCATGATGAAAATCAAATGTTGATTTGAGGATGATGATATGGCAGGGACAATAGTGTGACGGTGACGATACGCTGATTGCTCCCTGACTGTAGCGTCCGTCAAGTGGATCTGTCGTGGCACACCATACATGAGACAAGGCGGTCACGATCTTTGCTTTTGTAATAGCTCCATGAGGTGCATGTTCAACAGCCAGGTTTCCCCAGTGTAGAATCGAACGTGTTCATTGGGAAGGCGACCTTCCCTTCTCAAGTACCTGCGAGGTTTGCAAGCTTGGTTTGCTTAAAATGCTACATTCTGGCCGGTTTGAATGTAAATATCAACCAGATTTGATGACATTCAAAGCACCATCATGACGCACAGGAAAGGAACAACTTCAAAGCCGCTTGCTTCAAGTAGCATTAAGATCGGCGCCGAGAACAATAAATTGTGTTTTCAATCAACTTTCAAAGCGGTCAATGGTCACGAGAACAATTCTCCTCCATTGATGTATTCCAGGAGCATGAACAAGCGTTTGTCATCCTGCGGGAGGGGAAAAAAAACAAATCACAAGAGCCGTCAAATTGTAATATCGGCACGAGATGCCAGAAGTCAATGGACGACTAAAAAATACTAAAAATGTTTTTGTTGATGTATTATTGCCAGCACATTTTTTTGCCAGGAGCTTTCACGGATTGTGCCTGAAACGCGCCGAGCAGGTTGACGATGAAAGGGTGTTCGATCATGGACATGATCTGTTTTTCTGCCTTCACATGTTCCACCTGTGGGCAAAAACGAAAGCCAGCAGCACGATGAGAGTGTCAGGTGAAGCACATGAGTGTTCTCTGAGAAATTTCCTCTGAACAGTTACGCCTCAGTTCTGGAATGTTGGATTTCTTGCACAGTCTATGTGAGGTACCAGACAAATTAGGATTGAATGGAGGCTAGTGGCCTGCTTGAGTCGAATGACATCTCCTTTCCGGAGGATCTTCAGAGCCATTGGCGACCTCAGAAGTTCACCCCTGAACCAGTGCATGCACATGTATGTATCTATATGTAAGCATGTGTGACATGTGTGTATGTTTATGGTTTATGTGCGCATGTAAATGTAGATACCCACACGGATGTTTACATCATACACACACACAATATATACAGATGTAGATATGCCTGTCTACGGACATCAACGCAGATACAATGAGGTTCATCGCATATAATATATATATATTTATTTATTTATTTATATATCTATATATATATTTATATATCTATATATATATATTTATATATTTATTTATTTTTTTCTTTGTTTATTTCTTTGTTTGTTTGTTTGTTTGCTTGTTTGCTTATTTGTTTATTTATATGTGTGTGTGTATTTGTTTATCTATTCATGTATGTATTTATTCATTTGAGCGGTGGCGAAAACCCCTATGTACTTCTCTTCTAACCCTACTTGTCTTCCGCGCGGTCTTCCGCGCTGCTTCCGCGACCACAGTTTCAGCTTCCGCGGATGATTGGTAAGTTGATTCTGCTTCCGCGGAGCTTCCGTTACGTTGAAATCGTCTTCCGCGGCCCTTCCGCGATCGGACGATCAGCGTCTTCTTCCGCAAGTGCTTCCGTGTGTGTGTGTATATATATATAGATAAATATATATATATATGCTGTATAGATGTATAAATGTATATATGTATATATGTATACAGTATATACATATACAAAACATATGATGAGGTTCCTTGCAGTTACACGTATTTGACAGAATAGATCTGCATATGTACTGTACACATGTACTGCGGTTGCGTGCAAACATGGTTTGTAGTCTTTATACCTGTGTGCAGATAGGTAGATGGATAGATGGATAGATGGATAGATGGATGGATGGATGGATGGATAGATAGATAGACAGATAGACAGATAGATAGATAGATAGATAGATAAACAAATAGACAGATAGATAGACAGACAGACAGATAGATAGATAGATAGGCAGATAGGTAGATAGGTAGATAGACAGATATACAGGTAGATAGGTAGATAGGTAGATAGGTAGATAGGTGGATTGGTAAATGGTAGGTGGGTAGGTGGATAGGTAGATAGGTAGATAGATAGGTAGATAGGTGGGTAGGTGGGTAGGTGGGTGGGTAGGTGGGTAGGTGGGTAGGTAGAGCTCAGAAAACCTTTGCTCGGCAGCCAGTTTGCTTCTGCACGCTCTTTTCACACTTCCACTGTAAGTCTCAAGGATGGGAATGGTAAAGCCCAGCACATGGCCGCATTGGCTTTTCATGTTCTCATCATTGGCAAAGCTGCTGTCGGCAAAGAAAAACACAACGCAGTTTTCCAGAGTGAGGCGCTCATCAGGGACAAATTTCCATTTGGCCTCAGAAATCTCCTTCCATGAGGTCGGGGCCTGACTGGCGCGTCACCCGGCCCATTTGGGCCGATCAGGCCTCCGAAAGCAAATTTCCTCGGCTTCAGTCAAAGGGCTGTTGATCGCTTTGCGTCAGTCTTTGCTAAGGACCTGGTAGTCCGTGGCCTCAATGGCGTCGAACTGGCCCATCTCAATTTCAAAGTTGCCGTTTTGCTTCACCTTCTCTCCACAAAACCCGAAAAATTGCTTGTTGATTTTGAAGTGGATCTCGGTCTGCATGGCCAAAAGGGAATCTTCGTATTCCTTTCCTTCTCCTGCACAAGACAAATCGTCCACGTGACTTGTGAGGATGCTCTCCAAAGTCCCATCAGCGACCAAGCATAAGAGGGCGGACTCAATCTTGGACATGATCCATTGGTACTTGCGCAGGGTTGCAAACAGTTTCTTCCACCAGGCACGCCAGCAGTAGATCATGTTCAGAAGCACCTGGAAGTGGAGCTGAAGCAATCTGCTGATTACTTGGGACTGCGAGTGGGCTGTGGAAGCGTCGCAGGCAGCGTCGCATGGTGGTCACCACAGCAGAACCAAGCTTTGAAGGCCAACAAGGAAGCAGTTGGCGAACCGCTTCTGGCTTCTGATGCCTGGATCTGTTTCTTGCATGGCTTCCAGCGGATACTCGGCCTTGAGCTGCTGCAGGAGACTTGCAGATCTTCTTGGTCAGGGCTCCAGCCAACAACCGGGCTTTTCCGTTATCGGGTGTGGGCCCATCTGGTGCCGACAACTTGGGCGTCGTCAGGAAGTTGTTCAACTAGTTCACGAGATAAAACTTCGACAGCATTGAAGCACTGCCATGATGCCCAGTCCTCCATGCTGGCATTGAACTTCTTTCGGTCTTCTTCGTTCAGGCTTTTGGGGTGGGCCTCAAACCGAATGGCCTTGTCAGTGAGAAAAACATCTTCAGCAGCCTGGCAGTGAGCATCATCATCGCTTTGGCTTTGGTCATCGTTGGATTGAGGGTTGGATTCGAAGCCACTCTCGTCACCATCGCCAAGTTGTCGTTGAAGACGTCACTGCTGCAAGATCCTTGGCAGGGTGTCGCAGTCAAAGTCGTCCTCTTCAACCATGTAAGGGCCTGGCAGTGAAGATCTTGTTCGAAATTTCCGGACTCCATAATGATCATCAAGTCGGTTTGGATCTTGCATTGCAGATTGCAAAGTGGTTGAATGCTGATGAGGTGGTAGAGGTTAAGCAGGTAGAACAAATGAGGTTGTAGGCGTTGGCGGTGGTATTGCTTGCGGTTCAGGCCCAGAAGCTCCAGGGAGCGTGCTGGCCTGTCGTGCATGTGGTGGCAATGGCTCAGGTCTTTGTGCTGGTAATGAAGAAGGCTTTGGCTTTGATTGTTGTGAACCTGGGGGTTGATATTGTAGTTGTTGCTGAACTGTGAGCAGTTGTGGTTGTGATGCATGCGGTCCTGTGACTGTTGGCGGTGGATCCTGATCACCTTGTGGCTGCTGTGGGTCATGTGGTGGTTGGTCTTCAGGAATTGGAGTGCCAGGAGAATACACCAAGGGATCCTTAGGGATCTGTGGCATTTGGTCAGGGATGCCAAGTGGCACCGGTTGGCGTCGATCTTGTTGAAATTCTTCCGTAGGAACTTCCAGAGCTGGTTGTGCAAGGTGAGCCCGGATGTCGATGTAGTTCTTGGTACCTCTGGTGTAATCCGGCTCCAGCACTTCTTGTGGCACAGAATGTGCGGCAATCAGCTCATCCTCGGAAGCAAATCATAGTTGTTCACCAGTCCCAAGTACGACTGTGTGGCCATACCTCAACCAGCTAAGCTCTCGGCTGTCCACCTTCAGCTGGAGTCAGCAAGTCGCTTTCTCAGGAGGGTTCGGGAGCCTGAGTCGAGCCTGATCTGGGCAATCCTGGCAGCTTCTTGCATACTACCCATGGACTTGGCCAGCTGAGACTCGGCAAACTCAAGCATTTCAAGGCGTTGGGACTCGTCATCTTCAAGTAAGGATCCAAGTCGCTAAGATCATGTCCTGAATGCCCTGCAACGGCACCAAGCCGCTCGACTTTTCCGTTTTTCCAAGGCGCCTCGAGAAGCATATTAACTTCAACACCATGTTGTTTCATGCGGGCTGCAATGTCAGTCAGTCATGAACTCCTTGCCAAAGTCGAGTTGAATGGAACGCGGCAATCCAGCCCATGTTGACAATGTAGTCAGAAAGTGGTGTAAAACATCCTTGGCAGCCGGTGGTAGAGTCCCCAAACAAGATACAACTTGGAAACTGGTTGCATTGAGAAAGGAATAGGACCCGCCAGTGATGTCCTGCCCATAGAAAACATCAATCATCAGGTGGTTGTCGAAGACGTGCTAGTTTGGCAGTCGGATCGGCTTTGGTCTCCTGCGGCAGATACTTTCGCAGGATGCGCTGGAGGATCAGATTCGTGGGGTGGAGTGGACAAAGTTCACATGCAAGGTTCCGAGAACCTTTCTGACTTCAGGGTCGGTTTTGAGCGATTCTTCACGCCGTTGAACTCCAAAATGATGCAAGATCTGCCGCAAAGCGGCTGCCTTGACTGCTCTGAAGTCGGCGTCATCCAAGGTATTGCCATTCATCAGGGTCAAAACCTGGATCTAGAGGTTCAGGTTGTTCAAGTTGAGATGGTGGTAGGTACACTGGAGGAGCACTGGCCGCAGTTGAAGTCAGCTTTAATGCCCGTCCTTTCCTCCTTATTGGAGATGGACCTGATTGCGGTAGGGCTCGGACTTTAGCTGGGCAGGCTTCTTGAACCTGCTGAATGATGGGTTCCCTTAAAAAGACCTGCTGAGCTTGTCAGACCATCGTCGTGACGCCTGCTTTGCTCGCCGGCCAAAGCAGTTCGCTCTTTCAAGTGGTTGATGGGCATGCGAACCATCAAATTGTGCAAACTTGAAAATACTGCCTGCAACAATCATGGTGATGACATATTCGGAAGGCTTGAAGTTCGGCAGGCCCGTTTCAGCATCTTCATAGCCAAGCTGACAACCATGAACCTTGATGAGAACCAAGTCACCAGATTGCAAAAGCTTCTAGATGCCTTTAGTCTCGGGCTCGGAAAACCATGAAGATCCGGAAGGCTGCTCAACAAACACGTGGCGTTTGGCCTTCACACGTTGGCCGTTGGCAAAAGATCTTGTTGATCAGGGCCAGGAAGGGGCGATTTGCCTCTTGTTTTTGAAGAACTGTCACAGCTGATGGTCCTCCATGGGCAATATTGAATCGCGCCCATGATCCCCAAGGCGTGCACAGCTGAGTGATGACTGTGCAAAACAGATCTTCAAGTCGCTGGAGAGGAGGCGAATGCTAGCTTTGGTTGTTGCGTCCCATGAAAACGAGGAGGCATCAAGGGACACACCAACATACATGCCGTAGGCGACCATGAGAATTAAGGGTCAGCCGCATTTGTCCTGCAAAGAGCTGCTTCATTCACGTTTTTCCATAGGGAGGTCTGTGTGGAACATCAGCGGATCCAGACAGGATTTGGTGGAAAACATCACCACCCACAGCAGCAGGCATTGCAAAGAGCTTTTTGGCTTTCTTGTTGGCGGCCTTGCGCTTGCAGTTGGGGCTGCCTTGGTTGACGACCTGCTCAAACATCAAAGCATCACCACCGAAGTCAGGTGGAATTGGATCACGGCCGGGATCAAGACCTGCTCCAGCATACGTTGCTCGTGTCGCTCGCAGGCACGCACTTCACCTTGCAAGTGCTCAAGAGCAATCGCGCATAAGGAGCGACATCACAAGGTCTGTAGAGCTCAGGGTCATATAGTCCCAGGTTGCTGGGCATTCCGCAAGACCTCAGTTGGAGTCAGGGCTCAAACGAGGCTCGCGTGGGGCTGTTCTGGAACTCGTCAAGAGCGTCCAAGTTGAGGTCGGGAAAGTTCACGGCCAAGGGACCTCGCTTCCTTCAGAGCCAAGGCAGGCGGCAGGCCAGAAACAACAATCTTTTGGAAGCTGACAGCATTCTTGCCCAGATCCAAAACTGTATCCAAAGCTTGGATGACAGGCCTTGACAAAAGCAAAGGCGCAGATCCTTGGGTCTCAGCGCTCCATGAACCTTGTTGATGCCGATTGGAAAGATGCTGCGAGCGAGCTCGAACATGCCTGTGGACAACCATGCCATCAGGGTTTGCTAGTCGTTTCTCTGGCCTGAAAGTGCCAGCTTTGAATGGACCAGCTTCCATCGTCCGCACAGGTACGAACCAAACCTGTAGGTCTCAGCGGTGGAGCTCAACCTGGTGGCAGTATCCAGCTGCACCCAAGGTTAAAGCCACCTGCACATAGGTACATCCCTCGGCCAAGCCAAGTCGCATCGCTCAGCAAGGCTGCGGCACATCAATCAACGTCCCGATCATCAAGTCGTGGAAATGGCGGAAGGTCATGACCAGGAGATAGCTTCAGCCCAACAGCCAGCAACAGGGGATCATGCCGGACAATCCTGACTGGCAATTGAGGGTTGGGCTGGTACCACGTGGTGGTGATCCGTCACCTCGGGCTCGAACAACATCAGCAAAAAGAGTTCTGGCCTTGGTGACATTGCGGTTGCATTCAGGCCCTTTGCATATCACATCGCGCGCGTGAACGTTGGCACCTCGGTGAAGGTTTCTTTCGGTGCCGTTTTTGTACACAGTGCGCTCACACAGGGCGGTTTCTTTCAGTACCATCAGCACCTCATGCGCCGAAGAGAAAGTCAAGGTTGGAGTGCAACGGCTGTCCAAGCAAGCGCCGTCCGCATCATCAGTCTGGACTGTCGCCATTCAAGTCCGGGGCGGCATTGTTAGTCAGCTGGTTGGATACGAGTGCGCTCATTGGAGTCAGGGACAAAATCATACTGTGCGTGGTCCAAGGGCTCAGGCATGCAGCCAGTCTTTGAACTTGAAGATGCACAAAGCTTGACCTGGAGCATCACTTGACTCGATTGCATCATGCAGCACAACTAAGTTGGAAGAAGCGCCACGTGGCCGATTCTGATGAAGAGCTGCTGGACAGTTTTGTCCAGGAACTTCCAGAGATGGGTGATGATGAAGATGATCCTTCCCTTGCTGGGGCCTATTCTGCAGTTTTGCAGCACAAGCAAAAGAAGTGCATTGCCTCCAACGGAAAAGGCTTTGGGAAGTTCTTCAACTTTAAGGCCTCTGGTGAGATGAAAACCGACAGCAAGCTGCCGAATTCCTGAAGTCTGCGACTCCATGCACAAGCTGTGGACAGCGTAGGCATGGGCAAGGCGATGATGTGTGCTGTATAAGCCTCATCGTCATAGTTTTCATGTCCATCATCGTGCTGTGGCGCATCATCATCCACGGCCAAGGCAAAGTGCTTCTTGGAAGTGCGCGATTTGGCCTTCATAGTTGACGAATGCGAAGACACGTGCGTCCTCCTCCACACCCAAGCAAACCCCTTCGCCGCACCATCTTGCCAGCAGCTTTGGGGAAGAGCAGGCCCATGACTGGGAGATCTTCTCAAAGTCGTACTGGTTGCCGCAGGATCTCAAGACCGACACCTGTTCTTTGGCATCTAGTCCACGAAAGATCAGCAGCATCATCGACCGTACGTTGTTGGAAACCTTGGTCTCTGGACTCGTCTCCTCGAGCTTCTTGAAGTACAGCTCACGTCGGACGATGCATCGCTGCATTGTCTCATTGCTGTGGCGCCAGACACTCGGAGAGCAAAAGGCAGTCAGGAAGAGCTCGCTGATCTTCACCGGAACATCAGCATCACGTAGGGTCTTCAGCAGCAGCTTCATGCCATCAGTCGAAGGGGAGCCATTCTCAGCCTTCGTGATCAGCATGTATCAGCTTTCGCACAGATTCCCATGCGGATCCAGGTAAGTTAGCTGCGAGGCGAATTGGTGTTGCAGTGTGCAGTTGATCTTTGTCCAGCCTAGTCCATACCATAGATCCCATACCCGCTCCTCGTGTTCCTCGAAGGTCTCGCTTTCACCTGGGTATTGTGGGACCGCATAGCGGTCCGTTTCCAGCTTTCCGGCACCCCAAAACACGTCCAGGAAGAGGAACTTGTAGTGAATCTTGCAAAGTCCGGCAGCAGCGGACTTCTGGAGCTGGCCAGCTGGCTTGCTGGCCTGCTGGTGCTGCTGCAGGGTGCCGGCTCCTATTAGAGTGGTGAGTGGTGTGCTGGTCCCGGCACCCTGCAGCGTCACCCTGAGCGACCAGCAGGCCAGCTCCAAAGCGCACACGCCACTCTGACAGCCAGCACCTGGGCAGCACCCTGCAGTGGCACCAACATGCCCGCTCCAAAACACAATATCCAACTCATCCTATACTGGAAGTAAGAACCCCAATAGTGTCGCTATCTGGCCAAAAAAATGCAAACACCAGAGGCATTCAAATGCGACTTATGACAACGCCTCCCCCGAGTATCAAACTATCTCATGAAGCTCCACACTGTTCAGCAATAGAACACACTGTAGCATGTGCAGTGCTGGATGCACCTGCCTTTCTCTGAAACTTTACATTTGTGATTCTACAACGGTCTCATCTGCCAGGCCTGTCGATGTTCCCTTTCATCTTTACAACTCGAACACGGCTGAAGGTGCCTTTGCCTACCTTAGAGTCAAGGAGTCTTTCAAACCCCATACTTGGCTGAGATTGATGCAGACACAGACACTGAAATCTAAGATCTCTTCCACAGTCAACCAGCAAACGCATTAGCGGAAGCAAGTGGGCTACGCTGTGCTTTTTGAACGATTGCGCGTTGAGTCAGGGTGCTGTGTCGTAGAGCTCGAAATCACTGAAAGCCCACGTTCTGCCAGCCATCACCTTCGACGAGATTCGGCATGTGGCGTGACCGTTGGGGCTTGTGACAAACCCTTCCAGCGGCAAAGTTTGCAAAAAAAATGCATAATATATCTAATCGAAGGAAGTTTAGAAGTCAAACTTCCGACAATATGGACAGATGAAAAGCAGAGATGGGAAGAGTCAGAGAAGAGAAGAGAGAAGAGAAGAGAAGAGAAGAGAAGAGAAGAGAAGAGAAGAGAAGAGAAGAGAAGAGGAGAGGAGAGGAGAGGAGAGGAGAGGAGAGGAGAGGAGAGAAGAGAAGAGAAGAGAAGAGAAGAAGAAAGAAGATCAAAAAAGAGAAAGTCTCAGAAGAAAGAAGATCCAGGTGCGCTAAAAGGTAGGAAAGTCGCGAAATACTGTGTTTTTTCCAATGATTTGTGGCTCCGAAGGGTCGAAATGTAAGCTCGCTAAAGCGGCGGGTGCGGAGCCATGTGGTCAGATGAGAAATGAAAAGTTGCACGCCGTTGTGGCACGAAGCACATTTCCAAGTCAAAATGTACAAAACACCTCAGCTTCGGAGCACTTTAAAAGTTGAGATGTCGAAAAAGTGCACGCAGTTGTGGCGCGAAGCACATTTCGAAGTCAAAGGTGCAAAAAACTGAGGGGGTACGAAGCACTTTTGGACATTCAGATGTCGTTTCGCGGGGCAGGCGCGGGGGTTGTGCACCTTGTCAAAAGTGAGCGAAACGTGCGGGTTTTGTAGCAGTTTCAAAAACGATGGCAGGCGTGGGACATATGCAGAGGATCTGCAAAGATGCATTTTCCGTGGCAAGCGCAGTACAAGAGACATGTTCATCAGAGCTGTGAGGAGGTCTGGGCGCTGATTTCCTGAGACGGGTTGCACTTTGGGGCATCAGATCTTCAGGTTTGCTGAGATGATTTTGGCAGGCGCAGTACTTTAGACAGGTGGAGTGGAAAAATCGGAAAACGCATTGGCACGAGGCCGTCAGCTCTGCACTCAACTTTCCATTTTTGAAGGAGGTCTCGCAGAATTGTTTCGTTTTTGATGTTGTCAACTTGGAAAACTGAGGACGTCTCGCAAATTGCTTCGTTTTTGATGTTGTCAACTTCAAATTTTGAGGAAGTCTCGCAGAATTGTTTTGTTTTTGATGTTGTCAAATTCAAAAATTGAGGAAGCCTCGTAGAATAGCTTCGTTTTCAAGCTTGCAGGTAGACAGATAGATAGATAGACAACTACAACTACAACAACCACTACCACTACCACAACATTACACTACTACTACAGCTACAAATACAAATAAGCTACCCTACATTACACCACACTAATTACACTATACTACACTACACTACACTAATTACATCTAATTACACTACACTACACTAATTACACTACAACAACAACAACACCAGCAACAGCAGCAGCAGCAGCTGCTGCTGCTGCTGCTGATGCTGATGCTGATGCTGCTGCTACTACTACTACTACTACTACGACTACTACTACGACTACTACCACCACCACAGCTACAACAACAATATCAACTACACCACATTCCACTACACTGCACTAATTACATTGCAGCACACTACAACTACAAATGCACATGCAACTACAACTACACGACATCGCACAACACTACACGACACGACACGACACGACACGACACTACACTACACTAATTACACTACATTACGCTACAACTACAGCTGCAACTGCAACTACAATTGTAACTACCACTAAACTGCACTACGCGACACTACACGAATTACACTACACCACACTACAACTACAACTACACTTATCTTACACTACACTAGACTACACTATACCACACTACAGTACACTACAATACAGTAAATTACAATACACTAGACTAATTAAACTAAACCACACCACAATTACAACTACAACTGCCACTGCAACTACACCACAATTATTACACATTACAACTACAACTCCATTACACCACACTACAACTACAACTACAACTGCACTACACCACACTTCACGCAGCAGTTGCGGGTGAGGTGACCACTGCAACCATTGCAACCACTCCAAAAAACACAACTTCAACCACCTTTTGGTCCATCAGTGGATTTGCTCTGCCATCCGTGATTCACAACAACCAACCTCTCCTATAGGTTTCCTATTTTTGAAACTTCCGCCACCGCCTTGTGTGGCACTACTGCTATATCTCGGGTTTGTCTCGGTAATGTATCGAATGTTTCGGTCCTTCAGCAAGGAAACTGGAATGGACTTTGCGGCGTTGCTATCCTGCAAGAGCAGGAAAACCAAGAATACGCAGCAACAGCATCAGAAAATTGCAATGTTTGTTTCAGGTCTTGCATGGTCTAACATTGTCTAGCATGGGCTAGCATTTGAGAAAGCTTGAAGCTCTCATCTCCTGCACATCTTCTTCCTTCCCTTCCTTCCCATACCTGTTTCATCTTGAACTCATCACAGGGCAAAGGCGGCAAAGGCGGCAAGAAACAGAAGGCTTTGCAGGCTCTGATTCTGTTTCCGGGACACCCCTTCTTCATCTGCTCGCAGCCTCTCAAAGGTCTCATCGAAATCTTGACTCAAAAAGGGATGCTATAAATCTAAATAACAATTTCAAAAACCTTCAAAGGGAATGGGCCACTGTCTGTCGCTGCAAACCACAACAGCCACAGCACAAACGGAGAAACACGCCCTTCCCGCCCTTCCACCTTGGAGAAACGCCAACGATGCATTGGCGAAGCCATTGGCGCAATCGGCATCATCAGCATCACAACACAAGTGATGCAAGTGTGGGCCGCGGTTTCTCTTTCGGTTTCTGGTGAGTCTCAGAAGTGTATATAGTTGGGCACTGGTGTCTGGGGTGGCAAGTTAGGTAAACCCGAGCCCATTCTCTTCAAGATGGGTTTTTAAGATACAGCCCGTTTAGTTTTCTGATCATGACCTGAGGGCCTCAGCCTGTTGGGACACAACAGGTGGCGCAACAAAGCTGGTAAACCCTGAAGCCGCATGAAGCCGCAGGAGCACTAGTCACTAGTCACTACAGTGGCTGCTACAGCACAAGGAGGAAACCACAGGAAACAACAGGAAGCAGCAATTCTCTACTCTCTTTTTAATCCACTGGTGGAGGATCCCAGCGAGCTTCGTTTGTTGAAGGACTCCACCACCACGTCTTGCCTGGCTCACGGAACAATGCGAGCGTCAGGTATATTCAAGTTTCTCAAGTGGCAAATAGCAAGCAATGAAAGCTCTACAGGAGGCTGATATTCGCATTCTTCGTGACCCTGCTGAGTTTGCCTGTTACCGGATCCACATACTCTTCCCACTCCTTGGAGAGAAGCAAAATGGGTCCGCTCATTTGTTGCAAACTATTTGGTGCCAACTGCTGGAGTGCTGTGGTATGTTTGTATTGGCAGCGCTGACACTTAAGACTTCCTGCATGCTGTGTATTTTATCATAGCTTGCGCAGCTAACTGCAGTGCAGCTGGCCTTTGTGACTTCCAACGACGGTGGTGTCATCGTCTCATTGCGTACCTCTACCAGGCAACCTGTAATGAAGATAGCTATTCAATAAAACAAGCTGTGCTGCAAAGCAAAATCCAAGCTTTCAAGGGGCTCAGACAAGTTTCAAGCGCACCCAGGATGGAATGGTCTTGGAAGTACCTAAGTCAAGCAGCTGCCAAGCGTATCTCAAATCTGCTGAAGTCTTCTGGTCGTGCAGGCACAAACGCCTCGTCCAGCTCCGCGTTGCAGTTCTTTTGACGCGGATATCGCCGTTGGATCCTGATCACGCCCGCAACGATCCAACAACGATCCAACATAAATATGCAAGTAAACTACATCGCAGCAACAAGATCAAAAACTGCTGGGAAAATTGCCTCAGGGACTCGGCCGGGCAATCGGCACAGCCTTAGTTCAGAGTTAAACGCTGATCTTATTCTGGTCGCGTTTACAAGAGTTTATCAACGGAAGTTGGGAAGCAATATTCCGAATACTGACAAATACATTTGGGAGACTTTTGGAAGTGGTGACCAGAAGAAGTGGTGACTTACGGAAGTGGTGACCTTGGGAAGCGGTGACCTTGGGAAGTGGTGACTTAGGGCAGCGGTGACCTTAGGAAGTGGTGACTTAGGGAAGTGGTGACCAAGGAAAGTGGTGACCCAGGGAAGCGGTGAGTAGGGAAGTGCTGACTTTGGGAAGTGATGACTTAGAGAAGTGTGATGAATTAGGGAAGCAGTGACTCAGAAAAGTGTGACAACTTAGGGAAGTGGTGCAAAATGGCTGCAGGAATGTTGCATGGGACTTGTGTTGGGGAGGACGCCGGAGAACGAAACTTTGTTTTTTTCGATAAAGTGGCTGCAGTCGTGTGTGAGGCGGTTGCGGGCCGTTCGTTTTGACATGATTGGTTCCTCCATGATGGTGTTCTGCAAAGTGCGGTTGCAAATCGCATTGTAATGGCTGCATGAGTGCGCACATGATGCTGCAAAACACATTGTAATGGCGGCGGGAATGTTGCATGGGACGTGTGTTTGGGGAGGATGCCGGAGTGTGAAACATTGTGTTTTCTCGTGCTGCAGTGGCTGCATCAAGATTCCTCGCTGCTGCGGCTGCTCGCATAAGACTGTGGTCTTTTGCAGCTGGGCATCGTAAATCGTATTGGAGTGGCAGCACCCAGGTTGTGATGGTGACTTGTCAGCAGATTTTCTCCATTTTGGCGCTGGCGATTTTTCTTTTATGATTCCTTTCTTTTATCGTCGTTTTTACGCTTTGGCGTCGAGATCCATCCGGTTTTGGAGCTGCAATTTCTGTTGCCGTCGCGCGGAGTTCCATGGTGTTTCTGCAACGCAGTCTCTGCAGATCGTGGTGGGGGCTGCATCAAGGTTCCTCGCTGCTGCGGCTGCGCGCGTAATACTATGGTCTTTTGCAGCTGGGCATCGTAAATTGTATTAGGAATGGCTGCATCCAGGTTGCCATGGTGACAGCAGATGTTTCTCTATTTGGGCGCAAATCATTTTCCTTTTAAATTTCCTTTTGAAAAAAAAACAAAATCGTCTTTTTTCCGCTTTGGCGCCGAGATCCGGTTTGAAGCGGCAATTTCTGGCGCCATTGCACGTAAAAGCTTCTGTGTGTGTGTAAAAGCTTGCTGCGTGTGAAGGCTCGCTCTGTGTCCAAGTATTTTCTGACATCTTTGTGTGGAGTTCTTGTTTTTGATTCTGTACCCCGCCGCCGCCGCCTCACTCCTCCGCCTCCTCCGCAGCCCGTCTTCTCACTCACACAATTCTTTGTCAGACACCATCTTTCACACACAAATTTGTCACAGTCACACACCTTCTTTCACACACAACTTTGTTTGTCACACACCATCTTTCACACACACACACAATCTTTCACACACCATCTTTCACACACAACTTTGTCACACACCATCTTTCACACACCATCTCTCACACACCATCTTTCACACACAACTTTGTCACACACCATCTTTCATACACACCATCTTTCACAGACCAACTTTGTCACCCACCATCTTTCACACACCAACTTTCACCACCTTTCACGCACCATCTTTGTCACACACCATCTTTCACACACAACTTTGTCACACACTATCTTTCACACACAACTTTGTCACACACCATCTTTCATACACACCATCTTTCACACACCATCTTTGTCACCCGCCATCTTTCACACACCAAGTTTGTCACACACCAACTTTGCGTGGCAGGCCTGGCGCTTGGTGACATCCACCTTGGTTTCGCGTGGCAGGCGTGACACTTGGTGACATCCACCTTCGTTTCGCGTGGCAGGCGTGACACTTGGTGACATCCACCTTCGTTTAGCATGGTAGGCATGGAACTTGGTGACATCCACCTTCGTTGTGCGTGGCAGGCATGGCACTTGGTGACATCCACCTTCGTTTCGCGTGGCAGGCATGGCACTTGGTGACATCCACCTTCGTTTCGCGTGCCAGGCGCGCCACTTGGAGCAATGGGCTGGCTCTGGTGGCGAGCTTGGGCGTGCTGGGTCGCCGGGGGCGCCGCGCCACTTTGCGTGGCAGGCGTGGCAGGCGTGGCAGGCGTGGCACTTGGTGACATCCACCTTCGTTTTGCGTGGCAGGCGTGCCACTTGGTGACATCCACCGTCGTTGTGCGTGGCAGGCATGGCACTTCGTTACATCCACCTTCGTTTCGCGTTGCAGGCGTGGCACGCCCGGGGCGCCGCGCCACTTTGCGTGGCAGGCGTGGCACTTGGAGACATTGACCTTCCATTTGCGTGGCAGGCGTGGCCCTTGTGGCACTGTGCTGGCAGTGTGGCACTTCGTCACACACCATCATTGACACAACATCTTTCACACACCACTTTGTCACACACCATCTTTCACACACAACTTTGTCACGCACCATCTTTGACACACCACTTTGTCACACACCATCTTTCACACACCATCTTTCACACGCCACTTTGTCACACACCATCTTTCACACACCATCTTTCGCCCAAAACCTTGCCACGAACCATCTTTGACACACCACTTTGTCACACACCATCTTTCACACACCATCTTTCACACACCACTTTGTCACACACACCATCTATCACACACCATCTTTCACACACCATCTTTCACACACAACTTTGTCACACACCATGTTTAATACACCGCTTTGTCACACACCATCTTTCACACACCATCTTTCACACACCATCTTTCACACCACTTTGTCACACCACTTTGTCACACACCATCTTTCACACTTCACTTTGTCACGCACCATCTTTGACACACCATCTTTCACACACAACTTTGTCACACAACATCGTTGACACACCATCTTTCACACACCGTCACAGACCCTCTTTCACACACCATCTTTGACACACAACTTTGTCACACACACCATCTTTCACCACAACACCATCTTTCACACACCATCTTTCACACACCACTTTGTCACCCACCATCTTTCACACACCACTTTGTCACACACCATCTCTCACACACACTATCTTTCACACACCATCTTTCACACACAACTTTGTCACGCACCATCTTTGGCACAACATCTTTCACACACCGTCACAGACCATCTTTCACACACCATCTTTCACACACCACTTTGTCACACACCATCTTTGGCACACCATCTTTCACACACAACTTTGTCACACACCATCTTTCACCACACCATCTTTCACACACACCTTTGTCACACACCATCTTTCACCACACCATTTTTCACAAAAACTTTGTCACACACCATCTTTCACACACAACTTTGTCACACACACCATCTTTCTTTGTCACACACCATCTTTCACATACAACTTTGTCACACACAACACTTTTTACCTTGATCCTCCACCACCTCCTTTGTCTTTCCTTCCTTCCCCGTCCCGCTACAACAAACATTTGTTGCTGATTATGGGAAGAAGTTGACTTGTGGGGTTATCCGGTCCTTTAATTCTGTGTAAAAGCCTCTCTGTGTAAATGCTTCTGTGTGAGAAAGCTTGCTGTCTGTACAAGTTTGCTGTGTGCAAAAGTTTCTCTGTCAAAACTTTTCTGTGGAAAAGCTTCTCTGTATATACAAAGGTTTTCTGTGTGTCAAAGTTGTGTGTGTGTGGGGGGGGAAACCCTGAATCAAAGGGTATAAGCAGGGGGCCATCCCTCTCATCATTGGTGGATGGCCAACGAAGAGGCCAATGATGAGAGCTGCAAACGTACCTGCGAACTTCCAACTTCATAAACCACCCATGCCGACATGACATGATAACATGATAACGTAACATGACATTACATGATTTCATCTCATTTCATCCTCTCCCTTCGGGGTGTATCCAAGTGTGTGTGAAAGTTTTCTGTGTGTAAAAGATTGCAGTGTGTAAAAGCTGCCTGTGTGTAAAAGTTTGCTTTGTATAAAAGCGTGCTGTGTGCAAAAGCTTGCAACGTGTAAAAATTTCTCTGTGTAAAGGTTTCCCCGTGCAAAAGTTTTGTGTGCAAAACTGTCTCTGTGTAAAATTGTCTCTGTGTAAAAGTGTCTCTGTGTAAAAGCTTCTTTATGTAAAAGCTCGCCGTGTGCAAGCTTTTCTGTGCACCTTCTCTGTGCAAGCTTTGTAGTACGAAGTAGTACTGGGACGTGCTCTGCGCAAGCTTTGCAGTGCAAGGTAGTACTGGGAAGTCGTTTGTGCAAGTTTTGTAGTACAAAGTAGGACTGAGAAGTACTTTGTGCAAGTCTTGTAGTACGAAGTAATACTGGTAAGTGCCTTCTCGGCTTGTAGTACAAAGCAGTACTGGGAAGTACTTTGTGCATTCTGCTGCCATTCTGCACGTACAAGGGGCGCTGTGTAAAAAGCTTCCCTGTAACAAAGCTTCTGTCTGTAAAAGCTTCTCCGTGTAAAAGGTTCCCATGTGTAAAAGCTTTCTGTGTGTAAAAGCTTTTCTGTGTAAACTCATCTGTGCTCAAAGCTTCTCTGTGCAAAAGCTTTCTGCGCGCAACAGTTTTTGTGTCAAAGAGCTTGTCACAGTAACAGCTTTCTGACGCACAGAAGAGCTGAGATGAGTTAAGAAAAAGGTTGAGCACTGCTCGGTTGAGATGAAAACAGTTGAGAAGAACTTAGATAACATCCGAGAAGAGATGGGATGAGAAGAGCTGAGATGAAGTGAGATTAGGTCAGAAGAGCTCAAGAGAGATGAAGTGCGAAGTTTGAAGCGCGGAGCGCGAAGAGTGCAGTGTGAAGGGTGAAGTGTGATCTTTGGGGCACAAAGTGTCGCTTGGCGTTGCATTGCAACCTGGTCATGCGCAGGTCATGTTCTTGGACAACAACAGCGCAACAGATTCGCACAAAGCAAGCACGCGCGCACCGGCCTGGGTTGCACACGGCGCACGCAAGTTCTATAGATGAAAAATTGCTTGTAATATCTTGTATAAGACAACTTCCGCCCCGCGTCGTGCGGGCACTACTGGTATTGATCGCACACTCATGCTAAGCCGTTGGACCGTTTGAGCTTAAGCAAGCATCAACAACCTAGTTTGTCCGTTTGATTGACGGTTACTGGCTCTGCATATGTCTTTCTGAATGTACACATTGAAAAAACTCTGCGGTCTGCACGCTACGGGTCTGAAATTGGGACAAAAATGTCTCGTTGACGTCCTCCAGCGATATCACGTAGCCCTGCGGAGTCTCCGACCTAGGTCTCATGAGGGTCTCATGCTCATCGCATACGTCACTTCGGCATACTTCGAGCAGGACCAAACAGCCTTGAGAATCAAACAGAATTTTGTAGGTGCCTCTGTGGCCTCAGGCTCAACAGCAAGCACTTCAGCTCAGCTTGCAGCTTGGAGATGAATCTCTAAAAATATCATTGAAATGACTAACATCATAATATATCATACTCAAGTCAAAAAGCATAGAATACCGCACAAGTCTTGGAAACGTATCTTTGCACTGCTTCGTACCGCTGTGCAATGGGTTGAAGCTTCAGTACTACTAGATGAGTCTTGGGCCCAAACCCCCTCCAAGCTTCTCACTCATCAGACCCAGGACACCACGCAACACACAAGGATTGTCGTACTGACATGTTTTGATTTTGAACGCATCTTTTTGAATGATATTCTTCCAAGAGATGCTTTCGACTTAAACAAAAAGATGGTGCTTTGCAAAAACGATGAGTTGTCTCCGCGATTGTGCTCTGAGAACCCGCTTCATCTCCTATTGAAATTGCCGTGGCACTCAGTGAGATACACCGTACAGTAGCACTTGAGTAGCTCTCCAGTAACACTCCTGTAGCATTCAAGTACCACTTGAGTAGCACTTGCAGCTTCTTTTTGGGGATTACTGGGCGAAATCACGCGAAGCAGCGTAGCTCTATGTACAGGAGGCGTCCTCTGGTCCTTTAGGAACACCGGAGGCCGAAAAGCAAGTCCGAATATCTTATGGAGGAAGGGCTGATATGACAAGAAGATACAAGAAGTGGAATGAGGAGCCTGGTCCCATGATAATACAGCGCTCCAAGGCAACAAAGGTTTTGAGCATGGCCCAGTGAGCCTGGTACTGTTGGCATGAACATATGTGAACATGGCTGTCCCGCATATTTGCCAGTTGGGGCCGAGTTTTATATCCTGCAACAGCAAGGAGCTTCACTTGATGATGCTCGCAATGAAAAGCGGCTGCAGCACTACAGCTCAGCATTGGCATTGAACCTCCTTGGCGCGGGTCGGCATTTACAAGTATATTACAGATATTTGCATGTATTATTGGCTGCACATTTTGTGTAGAGCAAGTCGACAAAGTTTGTGCAAGCTGTAGGTTTGCAAAGTGGCAAAGTTGGATCCCTGCACGCAGGAGTTAGCAGTCCATGGGCCGCGTCTCTTGCTGGATCCTTCAGCTGGAGAAACAGAAAGCTTGGATGACATGACACGCTGCGAGCTGTCGAATGAGACTCAAGAATCAATGAGCATGAGGTTGAACGCGCTGATGTGCCTACACGAAACACTCTGACACAAAGTCCCTGCAAAGGTGCTGACACGTTCGATGCTCAACTCCGATATGTCAGAAGAATTGCCAATGCCTAGCAAAGGACGTCTTTCTGATGTGAGTCAGAATGCTGCCATGTAATGAAGTTTCCACAAAGGGCCTTCATCTGTGTCTTGCAACATCTCAAACGCATTTTTCAGGACGTTTCTGGCCACGAAGTCCTCTGGAATCTGGAAATGCAGAGGTGCCACGGGGTCTCAAAACGCTTGGATGCAGTGAGTGTATTATACATTACTGAAAATGTACTTTTCTGCGTATACTTAGTATTGCTTATACCGATGCATTAACGGCATGCCGGCTGATGGCACCGGTTTTGTGCCTGAAAGGGCGCCATGCGGCACTGGAGCAGATGGCAATTTCGCATGTTCAATTGGAGGATATGGCGGTGCTGCTACCATGGTCCAATGGAAATTCACACCCGTCCCTAACTGCCAACTGCTTTCGTGCATGTCGCGAAGCTCTGATGCTAGCCTTCCTGGCCTTCGCATCTTCAGTTGGCTCAAGTTGTCCCTTGCCATCAAAAAGAGCTGACAACCGGGGCTCTCGTTCACATCCTGTTTTTGCCAGCACATCAGCTAACATTTGGCTTCGTGTCAAGCCACTGTGCATATACCGGCTCTCGCTTGTCGGCTGGCTGCCCCGCATCCTTGTTCAGCGTGTTCTCAAGGCTCTTCGCATCTGTCATGCAAAGCAGCTTCTTCTTGGCAAACTCTCGTTCAAGGTCGCTGAACTTCTGATTTTGAAATTGGAGCTCCAGCAAAAGTGACCGGTATAGTCACCGGCCTTTGCGCCTGTGAGGAAGCCGTTCGACTCAGCTACCAAGGTTGCACGGCACACTCGTTTGATAGAACCCGAGCATAGGTCTCCACAACGAACAAGGGAGTTGGGGATCACACTGGTCTCTTTCAGCGCCTTGCCACCTTGTTGAGGTTCGCCAGGGGCCGCCGTGCTGGCGTCAACCATGAGGTCTGGCCTGGTTTGTCTTGTGACCCATCCTATCTGGCCAATCAATACCCTGAAATCGCTGATCGCATTGGCATTCAGGGTAGCGTTGATCATGCCCCGGCATTCTTTGGAGAGGAGCATCGTAGTCTACGTTTTCAATCGCATCAAACTAGTCGACCTTGATGGTGAAGTCGTCGGCCTGACGCAAATTCGTGCCACAAAAACGCAGCTCTCTGTGCTGAACTTTCAAACGAATCCCTGAGTCCATGTCCTGGATGGTCTGCATGTATATCTCATTTCGCCAGCACAGAACAAATCATCGACGTGGAGTAGTCAGAATTCCAACCAGCTTGGAGTCAAACACCAAAAGAAAAAAGTGCAGCTTCGATAGCTGACATGTGCCAGCCGTGCTTCTTCAAGGTTCAAAAAATTTCTTCCACCACGATCTTCCAGCGTCTTTCGTTCCATAGGTTGGTCCTTTCGCTCCCAAGAGAGTGAGGACGTGGCGCACGCAAAATCAAAAGCCGACTGATCCCTTGAGATTGCAGGTAGGCAGTTGAAGCATCGCAAGCAGTTTTATTTCAATCCATCGCATCATCACTACAACCGCACAAACCGTGTTGAAAGCCAAAAGAGAAGCTGTTGGACTATCAGACCTGATGGCCTGTAGATCTTCTTGGCGCCCCTGAACAACTAAACGACTCTTTGCCTGAAAAGGATTTTTTCTAGATCTGGGCCTCAGACTTGCCGACTTCTTTGCCTTGGCGCAAGAAGTCTTGGCTTGCTAGTCTTGTCCGTGGGCCCAGCGCGTTCCGATGACTTGAACGTCATCAGGCAAAGCTTGAACTTTGCTCAGGAGTCAAAACTTCAACAGCACCAAACTTCATCCAAGAACCCCACTCCTTCTTCATGGAAGCATCAAACTTTTTACGATCCTCTGGAGAGAAGTCTTTCAGGGAAAACCTCTGAGGGTGTTGCCATGACTATCAAAAAGGCATCGGCAATACAGGCCGCTGAAAGAGCTGCAGCGATGTAGCATTGGTCATGGGAACCATGAGCACCTGACGGTTCAGCATCGTCACTGGATTGTTCTCCATCTTCGTAATTGTTCATGTGCTTCAGCTGCTTCAGTCGAACAGCATGTGGAAGGCCAGGGCAATCCCAGGGATCATCATCCACAAAGTATGGGCCAGGTTCACGTGCCATACTCGCCCGTATAGGACTGAAAGGATGTCCATCAAGTCTGTTCGGTTGTTGCATGGCCCAAGTCAAAGGTGTTGGTGCAGGTGGTTCACCTGGCTGCTGAACAGGTGCAACAGCATCTTGTTGTTGAGCAGGCGCATCTGTTGAAGCCATTGCTTTGCTTGGCATTCTGGATGGAGCAGCATCAAAGATTCCACCACGTCCGTACCTCTTGATGTGGTTCTGGAGGAAGCTGGTCATCTTCAGGTATAGGACACGGCCTCGCAGGAGAGGCTGGGACGGAGGCATGCTGAGCTGGACTGAACTGCAAGGCTGATCCAGCTTAAGTGGCGTTCTTCAGGATCATGTTGTTGCTGAGGTTGAGCTGCATGACCTCGAAGGTCAACATAGTTCCGAGCGCCTTTGGCATAGGATGGCTGCAACACTTCTTGTGGAAGGCAATGTGCAGCTGCCAATAGGCATGTGGTTGTCCACCTTCTGTGGCAGGCTCTGGATACTCAGCTCTTCGTTGATTTCTGGTCTCAACACCAATCGCTCATGCTGGGCCAAACCACTTGTAATTTCGCCCTTGAGCTTCATCTCCGGCAGCAGTTTGGAGGCGATAGAAGTACACACGGCTTCCAACAAGGTATGGGCCACGAGCTGGTGCTGACTTGTGGAGAAGTGCCCTTCTGACTCGGGCATCATTGTGAAGTCGAATATGAGCCACTCGAGCACTTTCACGAAGTCCAAGTGATGTGCAAGAGCGGATGTTGGATTATCTGCCGCTTCAAGGATTTCCAAAAGTTGAGCTTCTTCTTGATCGATGAAGCTGCCATGAATTATTACCTCAGAAGGTCCAAGTACCCATTGGATGGGTGAGTATCCATTTGGCCGTGGGAAAGAGTTGCGGTAGTGGGCGATGATTGAAGTTGCTGGGCAGTCTTGTAGAGAATCTGCTAGGCGCTCCTTTCGATAGTCAACTTGAATGGGGGGCTCCTGCCAAAGAGCTCCAGCTGGTCAGAAAATGGCCACGGACAGCTTTTGAGGCTGGAAGACGTCGAGATTGCCCCAAACAGCTCGCAACTTGGTAGCCTGTGGCATCATCGTAGAAAACGTCCATCAAAACATGGTGGTTAAAGACACAGTGGCCTGGAAGCCGAACTGGCTTTGGCCATCGCCTTCGGATGCTGCTTCCGAAGGTGTCGCAGTTGAGGAGGTCAGCTCCTGAACCAGGCAAAGCTCCATGTCGGAGAAGGAATTGTTGAAGAGTTGTGTTGGTTGGGTGTGCAGAGTCCAAACTAGAGATGAGTGTCTCAAAGGATCTTCCTCACTTCAGGTGAGATTGTCAACCAGCGTCTTAAGTCCAAAACATATGGCCAAAATCGAAAGACCTATCTGTCCAGCAAAGAGCTGCTTCAGCTTTTGCCCTAAGGCGGCTTGTTGGGCATGCTGCGAGTCTTTCCAGTGAGGACTTGCTGCTTCTACCAATTATCACTATGCATGGAGGCTTCCCAAGATTCAATTGTTCGGCTCTTCTTGTTGGTGGCCTTTCGGACATTGTCGTTGATGGAGTTGACACCTTCGCAGAGAAGACCCTGTGATTAAATCCAGGAGGAGCAAAGCCAGGAATCGGAGACACGTCGCCTCGATTGATTGCACGTTGAATGCTGGCCACCTCCTCACGAATGAAGTTCAAATCTTCTTGACGATCGTGGCAATCGTCTGGGCATTGAGCTTCAAAGTCATGGATCACGTCGGGGTCTATAGCCAGTCATGCTCATCAAAAAGTCCATCAGGATCAGCATCTTGACTTGCCAATGATTCTTCGGACTCACCGCAAGGTGGCCTTTGGAAGTTCCAGTCAAAGGAAGTCCATCACCCCAATCTTCTTGAAGGACACGATGCGAGAGCCGATGTCAATGATGGCGCCAAACTCTTCCATCAAAGGTCGTGAAAGAAGTTGCGGCAAGGAGTCAAGGAGCCAGGGCTTCAGCACTATGAAGTTCACCATTGACCTGGCTGAATTGGAAAGATCTTGAAGGTGTCAATGGCAATCTGGCCACCGACTCCCCTGACGGGTTGGCCGAGTTCAGCCTCAAAGGAATCTGCCCTTTCAGTGCCATACATAGTTCTGGTACAGCCAGGGTCCAAGATGGCTAAGCCAGGTGGATCTTGATCTGCGGTGGTGAGTGTTTCTGGGGGAAGTCGATCGCCTGGACTGGGGTCATCATTGACCATGAGCACCTCAAAGTCGTGGATCTGGATCAGCCCTGGGTACTGGATGCTGAAGCAAATGGGTACTTGAATGCATCGGTGGGCAATCATCTCGTCAGGGTTTTGCCTTTGAAATCAATTCAGCGCCAACATTCCAGAATCTCGTCATGGCACAGCACCGTGCAAAAGACGAACTCTTCCATAGAGGTAAAGGGCCAAGCGTTAGAGCTCTGGTGTCAGAGGCTGGTTCTGCAAGGCAAGTTCAAGAGTCTGATGGCCAAACACTGCAGGCTCAGGGCTAGATGCAACTTGGGCCAAACTGTAGCCCTCAAAAGGCGTGCCACCACCGCAACGCGTGGCACCGCCAGGCAGTGGCTGCAAGATATTTTGGACTTCAGCTGCAAGTAGTGGAAACTCAAGCAAATCAACTCTGATCAACTCTGGGCGCGAACACACAACCCCATCCGCCCAAAAACGCGGGTCGCAATGCCAAGTGCCCAGAACATCAAGCCCAATGCAATCAATGATCACTCTGGTTTGAACAACGTCACTGAGTATGACTGACATCCAGAATGGACATCGTTTAACTTTTTCACCCTTTTCTCAGCCAGCACGTAAGGTCCTGATGGTGCTGAAAGGCACCCTGCTTTGCCCGGAGTAGCTACAATGGCGGTGATGAACGTGATCATCATCGCGGCGCCAATGGCCACACCAGGCATGTGACTTGCAAGAATGAGAGTGCGACACGACCGTCATTGTTGGACAGCGAACGGACGCCTCACAGATGTGGAGGTACTTCGGAGACCTGGCATTCGCAGCAAACTGGCCATACACAGGAAGCTGGGCATTCTGCGTCAGGTTCTCATATGCAGGGACCTCGTGATACTCATGAAGCATGTCATTCTGTGGCAACATGTCATACTCATGAGGCATGTCATTCTGTGGCATCATGTCATTCACAGGAGTGGCATTGGAGTCAGGAATGGCAAAGCAGAAGCAAGCATCGCACTCATCATCGGACTCAAGTCAATCACGAAAAAAAGAAAAACGTCGTTGTCTTGCCATCGGACTTCTTCCTGGGAGAATGCGAAGAGGTCTTGCCCTCCTTCTTGTTCGGATCATGCATCTTCACCAACCCAGTGGGCGTGACAACTTGTGCAAGTGGTGGTGACTTGTTTCAAAAACTTCACAGCATTGTTCCGAAGCCTCTTTTGCCTTGGCGTCAAAGGAGATGCCGCCAGCAGATTTGAAGGGAAAAAGGCTGGGAGGAAGAGCCAGTGGAGCTCTGACCCTTTCCCTTGCCATTGCCCTTCTGCTTGAACTGCAAGACAAGCGCCAAAGCTTCGGCCACTTCGCCATTCTTGTGACCTTCCAAGGACCGCATTAGCAACCTTGGTACTGTAGTCACCGTTCATTGAAAGCAATTTCCTTGCTCATGTCCTCAAGGCCTCAAAAGTCTTGTTCCCGGCGAATGGTGTACTGCTGCATGGGCCCAGCTGCAAGGACTCCTGGCCTTCACGGCCGCCCAAGTCCCATGGTCCCTCCTCGTACTGATGGTATAGGCCACCTCTGTACTGAGGAACACTGTAACGATCAACCTCAAGTTTCATGGTGACCAACACCTTTTGGAAGCCAAAGCTCAGAAACTAGCCCAACGTTTAGGCACCGTCTACAGGGAAGATGCCAAAGAAGCCCACAACCTCCGCGTGCAAGGCGCTAGCAGCGACGCAGTCAAGCACCAGGCAGAAGGCCCTTTACGTAAGGGCCCCGCTTACCATCAAAAAGCACCGGCTTTGTGCTTGAAAGGGCGCCCTGCGGTGGTTGCGTGAAAAGGAATGGACTGGGGCAGATGGCAATTCTCACATGTTCAGTTGGGGGATTTGGCGGTGCGGCTACCATTGCCCAATGGAAATTCACACTGTATAAGTATAACTTCCAGATCTGTACCATATATGTATTACTATTTTCTGAGTAGCGGGGGGGGTTTGGGGAGGGGGTCTGTCAGATTTTGAATCCCAGTCCTGCATGAAATCATCAGGGCCAGAGCTGCATGACATCTCTTCCAGAGGTGAACATCCTTCACTGCGTTTGGAAACGACGATTACAAGTTAGTTCCAACAGTTTACCATCGCTAAAATATGACGGCAAAAAGATAAACAAACTAAACAAACAGCTACAGATTGGGGACCGGTAGAAAGTCCAAAGGCCTGAAGCCTGAAGTGTTTACTCACATTCAACACCATTCTCGGTTGGGCCTCCGTTCTGCATCTGAACAACCACATCCATTGTCGGTTTGGTCAAGGATTCCTGCGTCGTTCACGTTTCAGGGCCGTGCGTCTGTGTTTCTCAGCACTGCCTGGCAAGACTCATGCGACTCCCAGTCTTCAACTCTCAGTGCTGTTGCTTGGCATTGCTTAGTAGGCTTAGTATTACGGAGGAGTTGCTTTTCATATCCGCCGACCCCGGCCTTGGCCAAGGCAGGGGCGGCGCCTGGGACCACCGCAGGTGTGGAACTTCTCCTTCTTAGCTTTCCAAGGCCGTTTGCCAGCCCTTAAAAGCCATCGCTTAAACATTCCCTTGGCATGCTTCATCCTGCAGCCAACAGGCACCCCAAGGCCACACATCAATGGCTTCTTATGGGCGTCCAAGCCTGCCGTTTGCCAGCCCTTAAACCCTTAAAACGCTTAAAAACCCTTAAAAACCCTCAAAACCCTTACAACTCGTAATGGGGGTCCAAGCCTGCCGTTTGCCAGGCCTCAAACGCTTACCCTTAAAACCCTTAAAACACTGCAAACTGTGCAAAAGCTGCTCGGAACGCCGAACCGTGCAGGCAATAGCGTTGCCCCAAGGCCACATCGCTTAAACATTCCCTTGGCATGCTTCATCCTGCAGCCAACAGGCACCCCAAGGCCACACATCAATGGCTTCTTATGGGCGTCCAAGCCTGCCGTTTGCCAGCCCTTAAACCCTTGAAACCCTAAAAACCCTTAAAAACCCTCAAAACCCTTAAAACCCTTGCAAAAGGTCAATGGGCGTCCAAGCCTGCCGTTTGCCAGCCCTTAAACGCTTACAAAAAAACCTTAAAACTCTTAAAACGCTGCCTTGGCGCATCCTGCCCCCAAGGCCACATCGCTTAAACAATCCCTTGGCATGCGTCATCCTGCAGCCAACAGGCACCCCAAGGCCACACATCAATGGCTTCTTATGGGCGTCCAAGCCTGCCGTTTGCCAGCCCTTAAACCCTTAAAACCCTTAAAAGGCTTAAAACCCTTAAAAACCCTCAAAACCCTTACAACCCGTCATGGGGGTCCAAGCCTGCCGTTTGCCAGGCCTTAAACGCTTACCCTTAAAACCCTTAAAACCCTTAAAACCCTGCAAACTGT